GCCCGACACACCCCAGCAAAGGTGTTATACTCCCCTTCAGTTGGATCGAGGTAATTCAATACTCGTAAGTTCACCGATAGAGGTAACTATTCACGATACCAAAACCACTTGGGGACTGCAATAAAAAGAGAGTCCTCACCTCCGAGAAATATCCATCATGGCAAAACCCTTCCTCCTCATCCTCTACTGCTGTCGACAAGCTCCTGTCCTTCTCCTCCTCCACCACCGTCCGATGCCCCTCCAATTTCCTCTGTACAGCCGCCGCGACCTCTACTGTAGTCGCCTCTCCCATTGATGCTGCTACATTGCCGGCCATCAACGACAGACATTTTCCTGAATAATTTCGTGGCGCGTGACGGAGTAATGCCATATTACGAGTCTCAGCGGTCCAATCAGTCTGTTCCTCCTCCTCCTCTTCAGTCGAGACCCTCAGTTGCCCAAGCATGTCAATGACCTCTTCTGCTAGAGCCTCTATTCGATCCGCAGTTTTCGGTTTTTCCATCAGAAAACGACGTCTCCCTTCCCAAAGCCTCGCCCAGTCCGCCATCCTCAACTCAACCGAACTTGATACAAACAATGTCATATCTTTTAGCACGCATGCACATGATATATAGAAACTTCAAACATGCCACTTTGGCCTCTTCACTCCTGCAGCCTCAGAATTGCCAGAAAATCCCCCAGGCACCAACCTCGCCGTCCCTTATGAAGCCAGGGGAAGTGAGAAAATATCAAACCCACCCTACTGCTTCGCTCCGCCCAACTGATGAGCAAATTCACTCAAAAACCTTCGGAACAATTGCAAATTGACTCATAGGTCCCCACAATTTCAGCATCTCCTTCTCCGGAAAGAAGTGGATATAAGTGCCGATGAAAGTGCCAAGACCCAGAGCAGCTCATAATGGCATCGAGGAGAGCCACCAACCGCCAATGCTACAACTAAGCGAGCATCCTATACAACTCTCAATGTGTACTTCATAATAGCGACATGGTTGACGAACCAACAATAGCAACTTCATGAGCAGCAGCAGCATCCAACTAACAATACCTCCTCCTCCTGCTTTGCCTAGGTCTATCAATACATACTTTTCCTTCACCATGCATAACACCCAATCTCATCATCATCAACTTAGTCTCTGCCCACACAATGTCATACATATCATACCACACTTCCGTCGAATACTAGCGTTGAGGACATTGCGAAGTTCACAATATTAACTACCACTCCCCAAGTTAATCTCTTATAACTGTGTTAAAGGTATATACATAACTCAAGACTATACAAGTGAAAGTAGGAGGAGGAGGAGACTTCCGCTCGAAATGGGTCGAGAATTTACTATTATGATCCTCTCAATTACTCCACTCTTGGTGTGCCGATTACGGACCTAATTTGAATCTTCCATCCATCAACCTAAGATACTTCTATTATTATTATTATTACCGTGACATTGAGGACGAGGCCTGGTACAACCATCCCACCAGTACAGCATGTTGTGGCATTGTAAAAAGATAGATATTTTCAACAGGAGTGGTAGAAGAAAAGTAA